GTTTTGTCTTTGTTTTATTGACTATACAAAGCCATATGTGAATTAAAATCTAACATTGAGAAAAATAGGAATCCCAGAACACTTAATTGTGCTCATGTGAAACCTATACTTAGACCAAAGCAAAAGCTGATATCCAAACAGAGCAAGGGAACATTGCATGGTTTACAATCAAGAAAGTAGTTCATCAGGGTAGTATCCATGCTCTGTATCTATTCAATCTGTATGATGAGCAAATGATTTGAGAAGCTGGACTTTATGAAGAAGTATATGACATCAGCAACCTTGATTTTTAAAGTGAAGAACACGTGAAATTCTTGCTGCAGCAACAAAAATCTATAGCCTTCAATACGGACTGCATGTCAACATAAAGAAATAAAAAATCCTCATCACTGGCCCAATAAGCTACATTATTACAAATGGAGAAAAGATTGAAATTGTCACCAATTTCATCTTAACTATATCCACCATCAATATCCAAGGTACCAGCAGTCAGGAAATTAAAAAATGTGTTGCACTGGGAAAAATCTGCTGTCAGGGACCTCTCCAAAGAGTCAGTTTAAAGCAAAGATGTTGAAGTGTGCCTGATCACAGTTGTCTTGACTGCTTGTTATAAATTTGAAAGTTGGACAATGGCAAAAATGACAGAAGAATCATGAATGCTGATGAGTTGTGATGCTGGAGAAGAGTACTAAATATCCAAGAGAACAAAAAATTCTGTCCTGGAGAAAGTAGGGCCAAGGGTGTTCCTCGAGGCAAGGATAGTGAAACTCGGTCTCACATATTTTGAGCATTCTGTTAGGAGGTGTCAGGCCTTACTTAGAGAAAAGACTATGCTTGGAAAGTTGGAGAGTCACTCTAAGAGGCAAAGATGCTCAATGAGGGATTTATTTTGAGCATTCTGTTAGGAGGTGTCAGGCCTTACTTAGAGAAAGACTATGTTTGGAAAGTTGGAGAGTCACTCTAAGAGACAAAGATGCTCAATGAGGGATTTACACGGTGACTATCACAGTGAGCTCAAACATGTTAGAGATGGTAAGGATGGCTCAAGGTAGGGCCAGGTTCAGATCCGCTGTTCACAGGATGGCTATGAGTCACAGTTAACCTGACAGCATGTAACAAGAAGAAGATACAATTATTTCAGGACTTTTTTTAAAAAAATACTGCTATGCAGACTGAGTCCTTAGAAGCTTGATTACTTCATTCACTCTCATTACCATCAAGTAATCAGAGAAGCTCCTAACTGACCTTCCAGTGGATTTTTTGAACTGTAAATCCCATGAGAAGAGATAGTCCATCTTTTTCCCACCGGGAGTTGTGATCTGGCAGAAACAAGCCACTTCTGGGTTAGCAGTGCAACTCTTTAAAGACTATGCCACTAGAATTCAAGAGAGAGACAGAGACAGAGAGAGGAGACAGACAGACAGACACACACACATGCATTTATATATATACCTATATATGTACATAAGTAATTGTGCAATTATGGCAGCATGTTAGCTAGGCAAAGGCATAGAGGTTATTTCATTATACTGTTTTTACATTTTCTGTATATCTAAATATTAAGTAAAAAGACAGGAGGGGAAAAAATAAAGTAGAACAATATTAATTAGCAGTTCGCAAAGGTATGACTAGTAACAATAAGCCAAAAACTGTTTTTCTAGACACTTTTTAAATTTAACTACAGTGGCATTTGCAAGAATGATGCAAAAGTAGTGGTGGACTCTCTGTCAATACTGTATTAGAAGTACTTGCTAGAGCAACATGGTAAGAGAAGTAAGTAAGTGGCATCCAGATTGGAAACAGGTGGTGAAACTGTCACTATATAGAAGTGATAAGATAGTGTACACAGAAACCTCAAGAACTCAACAAAAAACCTGTCAGAACTAGTAGATCAATTAAGTAGAGTGGCAGGATGTAAGATCAATATACAAAATTCCGTGGGATTCCTCTACAGTAACAAAGAAAACACTGAAAAGGAAAATAAGCAATTACCAATTACAACAAAGACCAACCACAAACTGAGATACTTAGGAATAAACCAGAGGCAAAAAAGGCCTTTAAAAAGAAATCTACAAAACACTTCTGCAAGAAACAATAAAAGATCTAAATAAATGGAAAAATATTCCCTAAGCCTCCTCTGTCCAGAGCTTGTCTCACTGATTGCAACACATCTACCCTCATTACCCCAATTACTGTATCAATTCATCTCAACCACGTCTTCCTCTCCCACGCTGACCCTCCACCCTTCCGAGCATGATGTCCAAGGAACCCAAAATATGTGAGATCAAGCTTCAAAATCCTATCCTCATAAGGAGAAACTAGGTTTTATCCAAACAGACTTATTTGTTCTCTTGGTGGTCCATGTTATATTCAAGACTTTTCTCTAGCACCACAACTCAAAACATCAATTCTTCTGTCATCCTTAGTCATTGTCCTGCTCTCTGATGCAAAGCAAGTAGTTGCAAATACCATGGTCTGGATCAGGTGCACCATAAGTCTCTAAACCGATACCGTTGCTTTTCAATACTCTCCAGAGGCCCCTAACAGCAGTATTCCCCAATGCAATTTGTCTTCTGATTTCCTGACTGGTCAATATAGTGAAAATGACAATCCTATCAAAAGCAATTTACATGTTTAGTGCAGTCTCCATACAGATAGCAAATTCAACTTTTAAAAAGGCAAATGGCAAGTTTATTTGTAAAGAGATCTCAAATACGCAAAATACTTCTGAAAAACAAAAATTAAGTGGGAGGCATAGCATTCCTGATCTCAAAACCTATCATATAACTACTGTAAAATGGCATGGTACTGGTACAATGACAGATATATAAACCAATGGTGTAGAATCAAGAAACCAGAAATTAGCCCAGACAGTGCGATTGGCACAGGACAGAGTGGAGTTTAGGGCTGTTGTACATAGGGTCGCTATGAGTCGCAGGCGACTCGACGACACATAACAACAACAACAACAACAACATCTATGGTCAACTGATATTCCACAAGGCAACAAACCTATAAAATGGATAAACCACCTCGTCAACTTATGGTGCTGGCAAAACTGGACTGCTTACCTGCAGAAAGCTGAAGCAAGATCCACCTCTCACACCATACCAAAAAATCAACTCAAGAGGGATTAGACACCTAGAGTTAAAGCTCAAAACTATAAAGATCTTAAGAGACAAAATAAGAACAAATTTAGAAGACCTAGCCTATGGTATAAAGATGCTGTTAAGTACAGCCAGAAATACACAACCAGGAAAGGCTAAAAATGAGGAAATTGACCTTCCACAGACTAAAAACGCCGATAAATTTTGTGGCACATCAAAACCCTTTCCCCAATAAATAAATAAAAATTAAAAAATAAATAAAATATATAAACAAACACCTACTGAGGGAAGAAAATTAGGAAACATCTCAGACAAGGGTCTTATAACAAAAGTTTTCAGAATACTACAGCAGGGCATCCACAAGAAAAAGACTGATAACCCAATTACAAATTGGATAAAACACATGGAAAGACTTTTTAAGAGGGAGACAAACACATGAAGAAATTCTCAAAATCACTGGCAGTAAGAGAGATGTAAATAAAAACCACAATGAGATACCATCTCACCCCAGCACCAGTGGAAAATTTTAACAGGACAGCAAGTAACAAATGTAGAAGATGCAGAGAGAAAAATTCTCATGTACTGTTAGTGGGATTATAAAATGGTAAAATCACTCTGGAAGACAGTTTGGTGTTTCCTAAAAAAGTTTAACATAAAAATTCTTTGCGACCTAGCTACTTCACTGGTAGGAATATACCCCAAGGAAACTAGAAATGAGACACAAATGGAGATTTGTATACCAATGTTCAGAGCAGCATTATTCACAATCACAGAACACCGGAAACACCTAACGGAATGGACTGAGAAACTGTGGTATATTCACACAATGGAATACTATGCAGCACTCAATAGCAATGATTTTGAAAAATACTATGTAACTTGGGAGAGACTGGAGAGCATTATGTGGAGTAAACTAGCTCAGTTCCATAAGGACAAATACTGCATTAAGACTATTGTAAAAATAGATGGGAAACTAATAGAACATATATGGGGACCAAAGGGAAAGGGGTGAGAGCAGAGGAGTAAGCATGGGTTGGGGTGAAACCATAGGGTTGCACAATTTGGTGGGTGGAGGGAGGGAGGTAAAGGAAACGGAAAAGATGCAGCAGAGACCTGAGAAGTGCAATGGTAATAATTTTATCAAACATAATGCATGGGAATGATTACATGAAACACAATGTATACAAACTTCGTAAGCAAACCAATATAAAATGTTAAAAAAAATCAACATGGGTTTCACAAAACAAAACAAAAAAAAAAAAACACACAACAAGAAATTTTGAGAACAGCTGCTTGAAAACCAACACAACACACAATTTTATCTAAATCAAAATCCTCACCTAAGCATCAATGAGTAAAGGCATTAAACCACATCAACTTGTCCCAGAACAAGAAATCTCTGTCAGTGCTAAGCATGACTACGGGGTCGGAGAGGACACAAGAGAGAAAAGATGACAACCTTTTGGGCATGCAAAAGTGAGCATTCAATTACTTTAAAAGATATTTTCAATGAACTCTTCTTAGATGTAAAACGTCTAAAAATTTTAAGAAACTTGAAAACACATTGAAATGGAACACGTTCATTCATTCTTCAGTTACTTAAAACTGATTCAGCCTATGTGTTGCCAATGTCTAGCTGAAACTTTAAATTATTATATCTACCTTACACTATGGCAAGCAATTTAAGTAGATCAATCCTTTTGGGAAAAGGTAAAATCATACAAATTAATCTTAATACCTATGCTGGATCATATTAAAATGGCCTGGGCATATCCCCTGAAAGATATTTAATTGCCATGTTATTTGTTATGCATTTTCAAAGAATGTTAGCTAAGCATTGAGTTCCCCCAACAATAAAGAAATAATAAAAATCACTAATAGTACTTTACTTACCCGTTTGGGACCACTAAAAATCTTTCTAGTATTTTCCTTTGACTTATCTCCTTGTTTATTTGCAGGTTTCTTTACATTTTCAGGCACACCAGGCAATTCCTCTGTAAAATCCAAGTTTTCTGAAATAATGATCAAAAATAGCTAGCTTTCAATTATTCCAAATCATCTACCAGCCAATCTGTGTAGATTTTTCCTCCCACATTGTAGAGAGAAAATAAAAGCATCACACAACTGACAAATTATTCTCAAAGACAATCCCAAATTCAAGGTTTCTGAACTTGTTTTAAATAGTTCAGCCACATTATATGGGAACAAGGGCAGCAAACTCGTTCAATGGCAGTGGGCTGATCACCAGCTTCCATCAGGGCAGCATTGCTGTTTCCCAATCACGTTAAAATATCATACACAAGATCTTGTTGCTCTGCACTGTGCTGTCTTCGTTTCTACCAAATGACAGAACCACTTCAAAAATCCTAAGCCCGGTTGCTGCCTATGAGTAGTATTTTGCATATGACAAAACCAAAAGTTTCCTAAAGCACTATAATTTCTGTTCTTCACAGCTTATAAAGTTGCAATCTGTTGACATTAACACTAATTTAAACATACATACAGATTAGGTGATTATCTACACTTAATATACATAATATACCTCTCAAGTTAATGGAATTCTATTGGGCTTCAAATAATGCCTGCTTATATATCTATAAAGTAGTAAGACAACCTTAAAGACAAATCATAACAACCCTATAGTGCAGAGTAGAACTGCCTTCACAGGGTTTGTGAAACTCTTAAGTCTTTCTAGAAGCAGACTGCATCATCTTTCTCCTGTGGAATGTATGGTGTACGTGACCTGTCAGTTAGAAGCCCATCACTTAACCATCATGCCAAAGAGTTCCAAAAATGGGACATGGGGGGGACAGGGGGAGAGCTAGCTTCCCTTGGCAAAGCATATATAACCTAATACAATACAGTGCACAGCAAAAAAAGCTAGCTCTCCTTGGCAAAGCATATATAACCTAAAATAACATAATGCAATGATTGTGTGGTTCTTTATAAAAAAAACTAATAAAAAAAATTGAATTCTTTCTCAAGTGAAATTTTTTCTAATCTGTAAGAAAAAAAACACAACCAGAAGAACTTTTCCCTACTCCAGCTCTTTAATAAGCACATACTGCAGGGCAAACCTTGAAGACACTGTGGGCCAGGCTTCCAACCACCTCTGTAAAGCAAGTCACATGCCTTTCTTCATTTCCCAGTACATATAAAACCTATGACTACATTATACTTTAGCCTAGAAAGTACGCAAGAGCACAGTAAAAAAAAAAAATCTTAAAGTCTGAGAACTGAAAAAAATGTGACATTAGTACACGTAAAGAACATAAAGTACCAGAAAGATGATACTACTACACATGGTGATTTGAAAACCATGAACATGGTTGCTGTATATATGCAATCTTTTCTATAAATTACAAAACTGAAAGTTTCCCAAAGTACCACAGCACTGCCATAAATTTGCCGTGTGTAAAAAAAACACAGTATCTGCAATGCACAGTAAAACAAAGCACAGTTCAGTGAAGTATGCCTTAATAAAAAAGAAAAACGTAGGCATTAAAGTAAAGACAGGTCTTCCCTCTGCTTATCTCTAAGAAAAACGTGCATCTTAAGAATGCTAATCTATATTCAAAATAGGTGACCCTGGAGGACATTATGCTGAGTGAAAGATCTCAGTCACAAAAAGACAAAATACTGCATAGTGCCTCTGTTGCAGAATGGGAATGACATCAGGGTTGGGGTAAGACTGAGAAAAACTGGATAAATAATGTATACTGCATTGAAACAGATGAGGGAGAGAACACTTTAAAAGTGATATATGATAGGCTATTAGGGTTATCACAAGAGTCAAAAATGAAGGTTGCATATTGGAGTATACTCGCGGTGGGGGGGTGGGGGTAGGGGTAGGGGTGGAGATTGTATACCAACAAAGGAATTTTGCTTTTACTTTTCAAAGAGAAGAGCGAACTGGACAGGAGAGGTGGGCAGGGAGAAAAGTGCAACAATGAATGAATGGAAATCCAAAATCTCTATAAATGTTTATTAAAATTAATAATAAAAAAAATTTTTTAAGAAAGAATGCTAACCTACATCAGGTGGCAGAGTTCCTGTTAATGGGTGAACAACTCAAAGAAAGGTGAGAACAGGAACAGAACTCAAGAGTATCATCAACATCACTGAACTGCCCATAGAAAAACAAGAATTTATGTATGGTTCTTGCAGTGGATATGAAAGTGAAAGAAAAATTACTTTTACAGATATTTTGCATATTATACGGAAAATTCGAACTTTGGTAAAGATCTCTGTGCCACCAGGGTTTTGTCTATACCAGTCTAGTTTTAAACAGAGGAACTCTTTTGAATCACTGAGACTATTTTTAGGTCAATTAAAGCAAGAAGAAAGAAAGATTCAAGTACAAATAATACAATCTACCCTGAAGACGACTACGAGAATTCTAATGTAGTGATCAAAAGGTCCACAGTGAACCCACTGCTGAGCCACACAAGATGGGCTGTCTTCTCCACTAAAGATTTACAGCCTTAGAAACCTAATGGAGGGCTGTTATGGAGTCACAGCCAACACAACTCTGAGTCTAACAGGACTAGTTTTATTTAATAACTGATACAGGTAGGCAGACCCAATCCCACTATCATCAAACTGATTCCAACAAATAGTGTCCCCATAATCTTTCTCATTTAATAATCAAGGCACTTTATAAAGTCCTTGTTACAGAATGACCTGATTATAACATAATCAGCTGTCAAGTCAGACAGATTAACAGCTGACCCTCCATTGGATTTCCAAAGTAGGAATCATGAGAGGAGATTACCATCTTCCTCCCACAGAGCTGGTAGATTCAAATCACCTAAAAGATGCAGCTTTGGGCTGGCAGTGCAACTTCCTACAGACAGAACTCCACAGAGATCCCAAATTACCGCATAATGAACCTATTTCCTCTGCTTGTCTTTCACAGTGGAGACTATAAGCCCTTGAGGGTCTATAGTCTTTTCTAATTCTATTGAGTCAAATAAATTTTCACTGTTATGAATGAATGAACTAGAACTTTTCAGTTTTATTAAATCAATTTAAGAGGTTTTAAGAATTTTTGTCATGTGTATTAGTTGATCTTTTAGCTTATTACAATGGATTTTTACTAAAGCCAATTTCTTGTTACTTTCAATTCTATTTTATAAATGTCTAGCAAGTAAACACTTAATGAGCAAATAGCAATTCTGCTTGCTCAACCTCAGAAGTTTTTGCCACTCTGCACATGACTGTGAATGACCAGAAACAGTTTGAAGCATTATTTTAGAAAAAAGGCAGAAAATAAAGACTCTGAAAATGACGGTTGGCTGTGTTTCTCTTCCCTAACTTTAAAAAGAATTGTAAATGTTCAAAACCTATCCTTATGCTTTCCTCTGTATTTAGACTTCCAGAGTTGAGACACCAATATATTCACTATTCCTGACTCAAGTGCTAATAGAAGAATTTAAAAACAAGTATGAAAAGACTCCTCCACAATCTGTTTAACTTGAAACCTTACAGTATTTCAAAAAGCTATACCTTTAGTTCTAAATGGATACTTCATTAAGTTTCTAGGTAACTGCTGATAAAAACCTGAAAACACATTTACCTATAAATTCAAAACAAACAAAAACAACATACCTGCATTATTAGTATTAGACTGACTATCCTGGGAATTGTCACTGCTTTCTGGGGGAGATTGAAAGGAGGCTGATGGTGCTGTTTTAGTTCTTTTTTCACTCGTTTTTCTTTCCACTTGACAGTCATCATCTTCATCATCTTCACTTTCACTAAGATCATCAAAACCAAAATATTTAATTTTGTAATTGGAGCTTCCAGAACCTCCTTCATCACCTCCTGCATCATCATGATCTTCAAAACCAAAAAATTCAAGTTTAACATCCTTTTTGGATTTTGTATTACTAGGTCGAAATCTAGTAGTGGTCTTGGAAGTTGCAATGTCTGCCTTTTTTCTTAGCCGGCCAGCTTCTCCCAAATCTGCAGGAGTTGATGCACTGAATTCATCCATGCTGCGCTCCATAGTATCCTGTATAGTGACGTTACAAACTGACAAGCAAGATGGATGGAGAACAGTGTAATCTCTAGTCCGTCCAACAGTCCCTCTAAAACTGGTCCCACAACTTGCACTACCTTTCTTTGCCTGATTCAGGCCGTCTTTACTTGATTCACTGCTTGCTTTAGCTAAGGCCTGACTGGTGCCATCCAGTAACTTATCAAAAGTTGATACTCCTTGTAAAGTCTTTGCTTTATTGGCCCTACAGTACGTCCTACAATTGCTTGACCTAAGAACACTTTGCACAATGTCTTCCTCAATGGCTTCATTATTCTCCAATTGCTTTTTAAAATCTTCATCCTTCATCTCCAAAGGATCACTACCCAAACCTAGTATACAATCATCTGTTCTGATATCTTCAAAATCATTATCCCACTCATACAAACCAGTTCTTAGAGATCCCTTAGTGGGAGAGATTTCTGATGGAGACTCTGACCTTTTCCCAGCCTGGGAGTTCCATGTGTCATTTGTCTCTTTGATCTCATCAGCTTTGTATCCAGAAGTCACTACAATTTCAGCATTAGGTTTCTTACTACCATCTTCAGCATTTTTATAAATATGGTGACTATTTTTTTCATGATCTTCACTAAAATTCTCCACTTTTCCTGTAAGAATAAAAAGAATATTAAATCATATGTTAAAGAGAAGAAATCAAAGTTAAGTAAGATGACTACTTGACTTAAAAGATTATTTCATTTATCTTGAAATAACTGCAAGTCTTAATTATAAAGAAATTGTCTTTATCTGATATCCCCTCTACATTTTAGAACACAATTATATATTCTAAAAACAATCCTTCTGCAGACATCCCTTAACGTTGTTGTCTTAAACTTCTTATAAGTGACTTAACGTTTAAGCAATTTAATCCAGAATAACAAGGCTCAGCAAAACTACCTCTGGGTTACGGGTTTTTCACATTAATTTTCACATAATTTTTTTTAAAAAATTAGCAGAATCTAAACCACTGTAACAAACAGAAACAGGCAATGTTTGGACTCATCTACCTAGGCTGTTTATAAGGTATGCCAGTTCTGCCTTTTTTTTTTAGGTTGGTACATTAGGTTTCCATTTTTTCACATTAGATTAAACCAAATCAAAAACAATTAGTCTAGTACCTAAGGTTAAATGGCTAGTGGCAAACATCAGAAAGGCAAGAGTTGCGATGGGCCACTGAACCAGTTCTGACTTTTAGCAACAGAACTAAGTGCAGCTCAGGCCTGTGCCATCATCACAATTGTTCCCATGTTTTAATATACTCTTGTAACCGCTGTGTCAACCCATCTCACTTAGGGTCTCTTTTTCATAGACTTATGCTTTATCAAGCATGATAGTAAGCTTTAAATTATTCATCTTGTACAAGGGAAATGAATTTTTGTTGACTTGAACTTTTTTATACCTTTCTACCTCTGATAACCTACTGAGGGATCAGCTATGGATCAGTTTCTGACTTAACAGTATTTAGCAACAACAACAAAAAAAAACAGAGAAAAGGGAGTGTGTTTCAAATCAGTATTACAGGTAACTACCTCTATACTTACTGGGACTGTTGTTACGTGCTGCTGAAAGTGACACAACCTTATGTACAATAGTCCTAAAACCTGCGTCAGCCTTACTGTCTCAAACACACCTGCCTTCATTATCCCAGTCACTGAATCAGTCTATCTCATCAAGGGTCTTTCTCTCTTGCACTCTCCCTCCACCCTTCCAAGCACAATATCCCTCTCCAAGGACTGGTCCCTCCTTGCAACATGCCCAAAGTATGTTAGATGAAGCCTCAGAATCGTTGCCTCCAAGGATCAGCCTAGTTTGACCCTCTCCAGGACGAACCTGTTTGTTCTCCTGGCAGTTGATGGTATATTCAATACTATACTCCAGCACCAAAACTCAAAGGCATCAATTCTTTCTATCATCCCTAGTCATTGTCCAACTTTCTGATACATAGCAAGTAACTGCAAAGACTACACAAAAAAATATTAATGAAACGTTGTACCTACATTTAAATTCAAACTTCCAAGGTTTTAGTTACCAGTACAATGTTTCTGGCTTCTGTTCAAACTATCCCAACCATCAAGTCAACTCAAGGCTGCCATCAAGTTCCTGACACTGTAAATCTTGACAGGAGTAAACTGCCCATCTTTCTCTCATGGATTTAAACCAAAAAGGCAATCTTTTGGTTAGCAAGCTATGGACTATGCCACCAGAGCTCCTAAACAATAGGTCTAAACACAATTTTAGTTGCTCAATTTCTATATAATTACTTTTAGAAAGCATTTTATTTTTAAATAAGGTAACTGTTTAAATATTTTCCCACTGTTCCTTCTTATAATCTCAGCAATACTAATCACTAACCATAAAAATACACCCAAAAACGCTGAAGATTAAAAGTTGGCTTGTATTTGACACAGAGCAATTCAAGTCTAAAACTAAACCTGAGAAAAACATAGTAATGATTTCATAACAAGAAGAGACAACACTCACAGTTAATTCTAATCAAGTGTTGTTCAGAACTAGGTCTGAAGACCTGAGGTACCTTCCTAACTTCTGGAGTCTAGCTTCCAAGAGTTTTCCTAAGAATTTAAAATTTCTTAGCTGTTTAACAGAAAAGGTATCAGTTTAGTGCACTTAACAGGATTACTTAAGAGAATTAATGGAAACAAATGAGGAAATATTACCAAATGCTCAGCTGTATAAGTCTCTTAAGTATCATTAATTGTTATATATCATAAAGTATCATAAAGCATTCCACTGTATTCATTTCATAAAGGTTAAGCAGGCTTTCTCTATTTTATTTTTTAGCATCCCTCTAAAGCTCTGGTGGCCTAGTGGTAAGAACCTGCGCTGCAGTCCCTAAGGCAGTGATGAGAATCCTCCAGATGCTGTACCAGAAAAAGGTGGACAATCTCCTCCTGTGTAATTTATTGTCTCTGAAAACCTGCTGGAGAGTGAGCTATGAGATGGAGTTCTGATTAGATGGTAAACAACAAACCAAAGAAATACAAACCAAACAAAAAGTGTATGACAAACTATTGGAGCGGGTGGGGCAGACAAAAATTAGACAGCACCAAAACCCAGTCTAACTCAAACAAAAAGCACACCAAAGAATCCAATGACTTCAAACTGATACTGACAGATGTTAACCTTTCTATCAATTTTCCAGAACTATAAATCTTAACAAGAATGCTTCATCTCCTGAGAGGCAGGTGATGGATTCAAACCACCAAAACTGGTCAGCAGCCCAACACCTACTATGTATCATTAGGGCTCTTCATGTGACTCATAATAAAACTATACTCTCCAGTAATGAACTTTGTTACACATTCAAGTTGTACTTAACCATTTCTATTTTCCCCAAAATCAAAGTATATCCTATCATGTCTGTTTTAACCTAAAAGGAAAATACTGTCAGCTAATATATTATCAATAGACTACCTGCTTTTCAAATAAGTCTAATTTTGTTGTGAGCTTCTCTTATAAATTTGTAAAAAAGTAACCTCCACAGACAACAAATAGTTGTGCCTTCTGCTTATCTCAGAAGATCCTTTAGCAGACAGACAGCAGCTGTAATAATTGACTTGAACACAACAATTCTGAGGGTGGCCGAAGACCAGGCCACGTCTCCTTCTGTGTTATAGAAAGTCAGTAGAGTCCAAAGGTATGCAGCACCAGCAGAGAAGTATTCCCATTGCAGGAATGACATTATTGTTATCTGGTGTGATTTCTGGGAGAAAACAACGTTATCTCTATCAAACATGGCAATGAACTGTAGATGAATCAAAGATCTTCAATATGAAAACAAAACCAGTTATGTATTATAAAAAAGATATTTTAAAGTAGATTATTTTGGAAGTTAAAGTCTTTTCTTAATATGACACAAAAAGTACAGTTTCCCTACACTAAAAAATTTAAGTAAAAAAAAAATATGAAAAACAAATCTACATGCTCAACATTAGTTCTTATGGAAACAGACAACAAAAGCACAGTCAAATACCACTCTACACTGACTGCTGTGTGCTGTCAAGTATATCCTGACTAATCTTAACAGGACACTGAACTGCTGCATAGGTGTTCTAGACTAAAATCTTTAACAAGAGCACAGGAGGTCTTTCTCCCACAGCATGAGTTGAATCCCAAAACCTTTCAGTTGGTAGCCAAATGCTTAACCACTACACCCCTAGAGCTCTTTCTTTAGACTGACAGAATGACTCAGTAACAAATGTTGTCAAAGACATGGAGAAAGTGGAAGTTCCATGGACTATTAGTAGCAATACAAAATGATGCAGGTGCTGTGGAAAGTTTGGTTAAATAAAAACAAACAAGCAAACAAAAAACACCCACACTACCGTACTACCCAACAATTCCACTGCGTCATTTATCCAAAAGTGACTACAGCAAACAGCCTGCTTCTATAGCCACATCATCATCTACATGCAGGATGATTTCTATAAATCAACATGACAGATCCCCTTAAGTCTATTCAAGGCCTGCTTGCACTTCCCCAGTACAGATGATTGTCAGTTACAAGACAGCTAGACTGTGCTCCCATAGTCAATACTCCAATCACCACCTGAGCATGCCACAACTTAGTACTCTACGGTGCATGACAGACTCCTGATAGTCAATGTGTGTCAGCCTGCTCCCCTTTTCTGGTTGACTGAAAAATGAGTTTACAGGAACTAAGGTCAAGGATAGAGGACTGTGCCCCATGGTGGGCAGAATGACTGCTGTTGTTCCATGCTCTCAAGTTGGAATGGAAGCACATCTGACCCTCGAGCAGGACTTCAGAGGCTGTAAATCTCATGGAAAGAATGTCCACCTCTCTCTGAGGAGCAGCTGGTGGATTCAAACTGCCTACCTTTATGCTGGCACAGCAATTCCTTACAATTACACTGCCAGACTGACCAGTGCATAGTTGTTGTTATGGGCCATCAAGTCATTTGTGACTCATAGCGATCCTATGTACAAGAGCCCTATAAGCCGTTCTAGCCTCGCTGTCTCAAACACATTCATTCCCACCACTCCACTCACAGAATCGATCCATTTCATCGAGGGTCTTCCTCTCCTGCGCCGTCCCTCCACTCTCC